CCAAGCCAGCGAGTCTGACCACCCGATCCCGTTAGTCGCCTCTTACGACAAGCATGGGTTACTGAAGGGCAATTTTAACCCGGACCTTTACGTGTATTAACACATTTGGAATTCGGAACTTCAGCGTCCTTGTAACTATACTCTTTGCACCTTCATCTGTCAAACATATCTATCCTCGACGTTGCCGTGCAGATAGTCAACGGTCCAGAAGCTCTTCCCTGCTTGCAGGCGTCAATCCTCGATCACGACCCAGCAAAGACGAACAAGGTCAATATTCATTATTTCATCCCCCTTCTAATGTACTAGGTGCTCGTTGTATACGTGGCTATTTTAAAAACATAGACATCCATCCCGAATCCCGAATCCCAAATCTAAATATTTTTTTTCATATTCGGGATTCAAATCCCGAATCTGAATATGTTTGTTTTTTCATATTCGGGATTCGAATTCCGAATCTGAATATTTTTTTCATATTCGGTATTTTTCTTTAGCACATTTGGTACTCGGCATTCGGCATTCAGTATTCAGTATAACTCTTATTATGCATTTCTTTTACATATTTGGAATTCGGAACTTCAGTGTCATTGAAACTATGGGGCGGTGGGGTAGCCTTGTGGTTAAAGCGTTCGCTCGTCACGCTGAAGTCCCGGGTTCGATTCCTTACATGGGTACAATGTGTGAAGCCCATTTCTGGTGTCCCCCGCCGTGATATTGCTGGATTATTGCTACAAGCGGCGTAAAACCAAACTCACTCACTCACTCCTTGTAACTATACTCTTTGCACCTTCATTTGTCAGCGTATCTGTCCTCGACGTTGCCGTGCAGCCTCGGAAATAGTGAACGGTCCTGAAGCTCTTCCCTGCTTGCAGGCGTCAACCATCGATGACGATCCAAAGAAAGACGAACAATGTCAATATTCATATTTCTTCATTCAGCTAAAACGTCCGACTAAGTCACCAATCCTATATTATAGAACCAGTGACAGAAACCAATCAATGAATGCATTATTGAATAAACGAAGGGATGAAGTTTGAGATTTTCCCGACTAACCATATTTTTTCTAAATGCGGGTTTGTGGTTAAATGGATATTAATGTACCTTTGAAAAACCCTTTTTATCACTAAAGTGAGGCGGAGTCATGTGAAGCGACTGCACCATAAGTGAGGTTGTGTGATGCAATTAAACCTGCAAACTACGATTGGTACTTGCGAACCAAGTAATGTACACTATCCAAAGAATGGTTAGCTACAACGAAAATGGATACTGAGGCACTATTCAGACCGAGGAACAATGCACCTGTTGTCTCAACCCACCTATGAATACCTTATATTGCAATTATGATGTAAAACATGTGTCCCTCAGCTAATGACGTGTGCGACTTAAGATTTATAGAATTTCATTTTTAAGGGATGTTTTATTCTAATTATATGAATGTCAAGCTGTGAACAATCACATATCACTGTGAACAATCACACATCACTGACATGTGCAAATACATTAATGAAAACAACCGATTTGGGAAAAGTCAGCCATGTTATAAAGGGCGTAAATATGGTCAACGTCTCCGCAAAGTCTATGATTATTCTTAATGGTAGTAATTTTGCCACAACCAAATATTCAGTTTCCAAACATCAGTCCCAACTAACTGTGAGCTTTCGAGTAGTTTAGAAAGTTCAAATAAAAATTCATGAACACAATGAAATACAAATTCTTGAAATCAACGTGCTGTACCTTGTTCCTAAAAATGAAGACATATCTATGAAAACCTGACTGACTTTAGAAGTAATATCAACGCTTCAGTAACTCAAATGATTTCAGCAAATTGTATAATTTTGTATCTTAAATTTCAGGAATTATGTATAATTACAATCATTATATGTTACAGTGAATGTGTAATACCAGGGATTATGTATAATACCTGACATTTTCAGTGATTTTGTATAATGTCTAACTCACTCAGTGATTATATACTCAGCAGCAAAAAAACGTCAGTACGAATTCAAAATTAGAGGTGAGGTGAAAGTGGGTTTAACGTAGTGCTTGAGAATATTTCGCTCCTATTACGACGTGCATGCCTGTGTATGTGTATGTGCGGCTGCTTGTACTAGCCAAGACTTAAGCTGGTTTTATAGTGCTAGCCCACTTAGATACCACGCCGCAGTGAAGCATGAATACCCCACTCAGACACATTATACTGACTCCGAGCCGACCAGTTGTACCCATTAATGCCGAGCGCCCGGCAGGGACCAACAAGTACCATATTTTAACGTCTTTTGGTATGCCACGGTCGGGGATCGAACCCGCGACCTTCCGCTCTCTCTCTAACCACTACACCACGGAGGCGGTCTCAAAATTAGATAGGCACTGTAATCAGATCATTACAGAAATGGACATAATAAGCGGATCAAAAACACTTTTGGTGTACAATATCTTGACACATCGATGAATAACTCAGCACAATGCCAAGACATTACGTCAACGTTGCAGTCAATTCAGACCCTTGACTTCAGTATCTAGTGTGACCACCACGAGCGGCAATAACTGCAGCACAGCGTCTATGCACCAATCGATTGATGAAGGCCATTGGCACCTGGAACCACACTTTGCGAAAGGCCTGGCGCAATGAATCGGCTGTGTTCGGCCTTGGTATGTCATTGTTCAGTCTCCTCTGAATTCCACCCCAAAGATGTTCAGTTGGGTTTAAATCAGGAGTAAGGGCTGACCGTTCTGCTGTAAGATGTCCCGTGTAGCTCTGGCAGTATAGGCCCGGGCGTTATCATGCTGGTAATTAATGTTCCGGTGACGTGCGAAATGTGGTATGACGTGGGGTCTGAGAGCTTGGTCGATGTAGCGCACCGCTGTGATGCCGCCTCCTCTCCCTGGACCAAGATTCTGGAACACCACAGGACCCACTCTCTGGTTCAGGCATATTCCATCCCATACCATGATGCTTGCACCTCCCCATGAGTCTCTTTCCATAACACATTGGTCTGAGTAACGCTGGCCACGTCGTCGCCATATTCTTGTTCTGCCATCTGCAGTTGATACGCAGTACCGACTCTCATCTGTGAACAGAACAGTTCTCCATTGCCCGTATCGCCAGTTTTGGTGTTGTTGGGCAAACTGTTGTCGTTCACGGCGATGACGAGGGGTGAGGATAGGTCCACGGTAAGGTCTACGGCAATGGATGTTCGAGCTGTTAAGACGTCAGTGTACTGTATCAGTACTGATTGGTCTTCCGTGTGTTCCCCCTGTCTGGCGTGCTGTTTCGGATGCCTGCATGAAGGGATTCTGTACATGCTGTCGCACAATATGGCGGTCTTGTCGTCTTGTGGTCACCCTTGGTCTGCCAGTACGGGGGCGATCATTTGTGGTGTTGGTGGCCCGGAAACGTTGCTGCAGCCTGTAGATGGTGCGAACGTTGATCTGGAAGTGATTGGAAACGGCTTGTGCAGTGTGGCCAGCTTCAAGTCTTCCTAGCGCCTGGTTCCTCTGAGCTGTCGTGAGTCGCGGCATCCTGCTGACGTTGCAACGTGAATGTTTCAGTTGCAGTTGCATGAAAAACATGGAGAACACCGTACCATCTCCGAGATCAGGTTTCGTTTTTTAGACCATTTCCTGGGTTCCATTCTGAGTTTGGGAAGGAATGTCTTTGCTCAGGAAAAGTTGGAGATGTTGTCAAAAATATACAATCAAAACATTAAATGAGTTCACAGTTATCCGTTTCTGTGAAGGAAAATTCCATACTGACGTTTCTGCTTTGAAGGGAAAATTCACTGAAAAGTATACTAGAAACTAGACGTTTCCCTGAAATTTTGCTAGTTTGAGGTATATTTCTTCCAAAAAGATGTATTAGACTTTTGTATTAATAGAGACGTTTCTTTGCTACTGATATCTCTATTCACATAATAGATGTACATGATGTGCATAAGGAAAAGCATGATGAACATGTTTGGAGAACATCAATTCAGTTTTTATTTTGACAAGACAGTGATGAGTGGCACCTTAAATTACATTTTACACCAGCCTTGTAGCATTTGCATCTATTTGTCTGGCACCTCTTGACTCCAGCACAATTGCACTTAACAAAGCCTTGTCCACCACAGGCTGACCCAAACTGGACGTCTAAGCGAAAGGAGGCGAGTTTTTCAGAAGACATATCCTAAGGTGTACGGAGCTGTGGCGCACACATCAAATTGAAATTACGAGAATATTTTCCAGATAAAACACTAGCTTTGACAGCAGTTGTGTATATCCCACCGTCATTAATGGGATCAGCTCTAATAGTAATAGTAATAGTCCGCTTATTACTATCCAGGCACATCGGTAATAGGTAATAGGACACTATCGTACGTTCCGATACTCTTTCAACTCCCTTGGGATCATAAAGCCATGCTGTCTGTTAGGCGCAATGAACTAAGCATTCACACTGCCAGCACACCCTCACGGTACCATTTTACAGCTGGGTCAACTGAAACACAGGGATCTAAGTATCTTGTCCAAGAATACTACGCAAATGTGCCCACCTCGGGACCCGAACATAGGTGCCTCCACCGGGAATCGAACCCGGGCCTTCAGCATGATTGACTGACGCCTTACCACTGCACTATTGCGCTCTACCTGTCCACGGATGGGATTGGAACTGTAACGTTGTCACCAACGTGAACTTCTGACAGAACAACTTTACTACTTTCCACCATTCTCTCGGCTTTTTGCAACTGAGAGTCTACTGCCCTCTTCCTCTAGATACTGATCTGCTGACGTCTCTTTGCAAGAAGGAGTTCAGCTGATGATGGCGGATCTGGAACGGCGGGTGCAGCTGGTGGATCTATAACGGCTGCTTCAGCAGGTGGATCTGATACTGGCATATCTGCTACAACAGGTGGATCTGGTACTGGCATATCTGTTACAACAGGTGGATCTGGATCTGGCATGGCTGTTTCTGCTGAGGGATCTGGAACAGCTACAGTAACTGGTGGCGAATCTGGTGCTGGCTAGTCTCAAGTAGGTGTCATGGCGATTATGGCATTGATGAGATCTTCTTCCGCCTTCAGTGTTGCAATCACCTCATCTGGGAGCTTGGAGGAATTATTCCAGTTGGTGCATCTGATCCAGTACAGGCAGCAAATCGTGTTTGCTTGATTCCGCTGTGGTAGCAGGAACTGAACTTGGGTCACAAGGTACAAGCGGTGCCATTGTTGTCGGACATCCAGGCTGTTAACATGTCCTTCACATCACAGTTGGCAGGCTCAATGGAACCTTAGGATTGGGGGTGACGTGGTTTACCATGTATGATCTTGGTGCTAGGCCACATCTGTGACACCTCCTCAATGACACGAGCAGTAAATTCGGGATTCGAATCCCGAATATGAAAAAAATTCAGATTCGGGATTTAAGTCCCGAAACCCGAATGTTGAGAAGGCCATTTAAGTTACCCAGGTATACAACGAGCACCTAGTACATTAGAAGGGGGATGAAATATAAGAGTTCAAATACCGAATGCCGAGTGTCGAATGTGCAAAAATACCGAATCTGTAAAAAGGATTAAGATTCGGGATTCGAATCCCGAAGATGGAAAAATATTCAGATTCGGGATTCGAATTTCGAATCTGAAAAATATAAACAGATTCGGGATTCAAATCCCGAAACCCGAATGTTGAGAAAACTCAGATTTGAGGCTGAAATATTGGAAACTGTAGTTTGGTTGTTTATGTTACCAAGGTATACAACTAGCGCCTAGTACATTAGAAGGGGGGTGAAATATAAGAGTTCAAATACCGAATGCTGAGTGTCGAATGTGCAAAAATATCGAATCTGAAAAAAATTCAGATTCGGGATTCGAATCCCGAATATGGAAAAATATTCAGATTCGGGATTCGAATCCCGAATGTGAAAAATTATTCAGATTTGGGATTCAAATCCCAAAACCCGAATGTTGAGAAAACTCAGATTTGAGGTTCAAATATCGGAAACTGTAGTTACCCAGGTATACAACGAGCACCTAGTATTTTAGAAGGGGGATAAAATATTAGAGTTCATATACCGAATGCCGAGTGTCGAATATGCAAAAATACCGAATCTGAAAAAAATTCAGATTCGGGATTCAAATCCCGAATATGGAAAAAATATTAAGATTCGGGATTCGAATCCCGAATGTGAAAAAAATATTCAGACTTGGGATTCAAATCCCAAAACCCGAATGTTGAGAAAACTCAGATTTGAGGTTCAAATATCGGAAACTGTAGTTACCCAGGTATACAACGAGCACCTAGTACTTTAGAAGGGGGATGAAATATAAGAGTTCAAATACCGAATGCCGAGTGTCGAATATGCAAAAATACCGAATCTGAAAAAAATTCAGATTCGGGATTCAAATCCCGAATATGGAAAAAATATTAAGATTCGGGATTCGAATCCCGAATGTGAAAAAAATATTCAGACTTGGGATTCAAATCCCAAAACCCGAATGTTGAGAAAACTCAGATTTGAGGTTCAAATATCGGAAACTGTAGTTACCCAGGTATACAACGAGCACCTAGTACTTTAGAAGGGGGATGAAATATAAGAGTTCAAATACCGAATGCCGAGTGTCGAATGTGCAAAAATACCGAACCTGAACAAAATATTCAGATTCGGGATTCGAATCCCAAATGTGAAAAAATATTCAGATTCGGGATTCGAATTCCAAATGTGAAAAAAACATTCAGATTTGGGATTCGAATCCCAATCCCAATCCCCAATCCCGAATCCGTTTCTAACTTCATGTTGCTCTGAGGCACGTGGGGGCGAGACCCGTTACTGAGACTGCCGATGTGTCAGAAAAGAACTTGTATAGAAACTGACAATCGCGTATGAGTGTTCAAATATCACTGGAAACCAATAAGTTCTATGTTTCACTATCGCTAAAACGTCATGTGTTGTCAAAACATCCTTCATAATGTGCTCGGTTCATCTGTAACCATTTTTCATTTCATATTATTCTTGTAATCTACATTTTGTGTGTCGTTTTTATGGATCGTCAAACTCGACCTATACTTTTTTTACCTCTTAGTTAACACTGTATCTGCCCAATGGGGTTATTTTGTCCGGTGCGAGCATTCAAAATCAGGGTTAGGATTTTGAAAGGTTTGGGAGGTGATGACGCCATTTCCAGATTTAACGTACCAGTTAGAAACATGCTATCCCATGCAATGCCCCTTTGTGATCTGAACCAAGTGCCCTCTTGGATATTTCTTCGGGTACACAATTGGATTACCTTTCAGTGAGTTTGTTGAGTGTATAACTGGTGGGACGGGTGACCTCGATTTTCCTCGAGCACCCGTGTCATGAATTTTGATTTAAACATATTTTATTCATTGAAGAACAGAATTAAGCACAAGTTATCCAACTTAATGAGCACAAAGCAGGTGGTTCGCCAACTTAATGAAACCCTCTCCCATAAATGTTTGCTTGTGATTCATTCCTGAGAGGTTAAAGGCGTGCAGTCTGGGAGATATATATCACGAATATAGACACGAATTTATCTCTTTTGTTAACTGATGAGCAACAGAGATAAATTCATTATAATTATAATCATAAGATGTATGTTTCATTGTCTTATCATGGCGTAACTATGTTCAACCAACCAATGACCATGCAGTGGACGTACAGTAGTCACGCTACATGATTACCGTTTGCTGTTCACTGTATCTGGTACATAAACCTTTTAATGATAAGAGAGGCGGTAGGCACAGACCAGCGAGTTCAGGAACATTTAGAAAATAAGATTATACTTCTTACCGAGACTATTGTTGCCATCCTGTTCATTATCGTTCCTCCTCATGAACAAGAAGAAAAAGCGACACAAACATACCCTTTATTTTATGGAACATGCGTTTGTTGATGTGTCCAAAATACACAAACTCGCATACTTAGATATGATATTTCAGAAAAGGCTTAGAAATAGACCCAAATAGTCCCATAAGGCTGTTAGAAGGATGTTTATAAGATATAAATAGTGCAAGTATGTTTAAGAAATGCTGTTGATATAAATACTCCGGTCTCTGGGGGAATGCAGAAAAGAGTGTTTATTAAATAATCTGCACACATACAAATCATGATTGAAAGATTATTGGAAATGAATTGATTATATTACATTAGTGGAAAATGTGATCATAGATAAAGTGACCGAAATTCACCTATTGTGAATAACAGACAATATAACATACGTGTACATGTATATGTATAGTAAAACGCCAGTAAACTGATACTGGTCATCGGGTGTTTCCGAGATTTGGTTCGGAAATAATCTATTGATAAACGACGTGGAACAGATAACCTGCTTTGTGCTTGCTGTAGCATTGTGCATTCTATGCAGCGTACTGTTTAGAAACACCAACTTAAAGGTGTTTTTAAGGCAGAAATTGTACATTGTTTTTTATGAACATGTAGTATATTTCTGACGATTGTAATTATTCACACGATATTAACATTTTAAGTGAGCTGTAGCTCTGCTGAAATAATAACAATATGTGTGTTGTTTTGTGTGAGAAAACCATTTAAAACATGCAGCGTTGATGTTATTGTATCCAGTGTAGTGAAGTATGTTCATCGCGATTAAAATAGTTGGAAGGCTGGTTGGTCCTTTAATGCCTGCGGCGGTATGTAAATAAACAACAAGCATAGCCGGATCCCGTTAATAGCCTCTTACAAGTATGGGTTGCTGAAGATCAATTCTAACCCGGCAATCTGTGGATGGAGCAACTTGCAGCGTCATTGCATACTGGGAAACACATGGAGAGAGTGAGCTTAGTTTTACGCCGCACTCAGCAATATTCCAGCCATATGGCGGCGGTCTGTAAATAATCGAGTCTCGACCAGATAATCCAGTGATCGACATCATGAGCGTCGATCTACGCAATTGGGATACGATGACATGTGTCAACCAAATCAGCTAGCCTGACCACCGAAACCCGTGAGTCGCCTCTCGCGACAAGCATGGATTACTGGAGATCAATTCTAACATGGATGTTCACGGCTCATCTTTCATGAGTGATATCAACTGTATTGGTCATGTGTGGTGGTCACTTGTCTATCTTCCTTAATCGGGGCGATAGGGTAGCCTAGTGGTTAAAGCGTTCTCTTGTCTCGCCGAAGACCCGGGTTCGATTCCCAAGGGGTACAATGTGTGAAGCCCATTTCTGCTGCACCGCGCCGTGATATTGTTGGAATATTGCTAAAAGTGAATTAGCCACTTTACCTTAATCATATTAATTCATCAACCAGGGTCCCGACCCACAAAGCGTTCGTAGCCTTATGACATTCGTAAGCCTATGATAAACTATAGAGTTACGACATTTCGTAACGTTACGAACGCTTTGTGGATCGGCTCCCTGGACCTGAGCCTGGATAATCGTGGAGGCTGTTCTCCTCTTGAACTTCTCTGCCAGGCTATATAGTGGTTGAGGAAGGAGCACCGTGACCTAGAGCTTACACAATATCAGCATAACTGAAGTTCTTGAAGGGCATATAGCAATTGGACGAAAATATATACATGACACGTAACATGGATAGCTTCTTATTATTCTTTATACGACCTTTCAGAGGTAATTCTTTCTCCTTCATATTCACCTGGTGAAGGAGCAAGAATAAGCTCTGAAACGTCGCATAAAGAAAACAAAAACGTGTCGTGTAGTCATCAGCGTAATTGTTCAGTGTCACCTGCTACCATGAATATATACGTCAATACTGTCACAATACACGTTTATGTCCATGTATGTTGGGGGCATTTACTGTTAACTGCCCATTGCGAACACACGCATTTAGAAGTCTCTTCAGTGAACAGGTAAGTTGCACTACAGATTGGTCATCAAACAATTGTAGATACTTGGGGCTAAGGCTGTACAATATTTGTGTTGTTGCTTGATAACGCCCCATTCAGCATTATTCAAACAATTATGTAAATAATCAAGTTAATAATAATCGTCTTATTGAGATTAATTCCTTGACTTTCACATTATGTACGTTTAATAGTAGTATTTGATGTGGCGCAGTGTCTCAAGGGGTTCAACAATCTCTGTTGTATTGAAGTCTTCATATGGTCTTGTTATGAACTTCGATCCACGAAATTAGGAAACGGTGATCTATCGTCAACCACGTTACCTTGAGTGGCGAGATCTTCCATTTAGTCTCCTCTAACCATAAACATGGGTTTGGGAGGATCTATTTTCTTAGGGTTTGACATTATCATTTAACTTTATACTTTAACTAATGACTGTATGGATTTTGCCATCACAAGGGATAAATATTTCAATGTCAAAACAGTAACGGATCTTTCTTATAATGTTAATTATCATATAATAATTGAATTTTTTAAAGGAAATAGAATTATTATATAAATTTTGAATATGTTTTGCAAATAGATAATTGGTACTTTAAACATGGTAGTATAAATTAGCAACTGCGATTGATAGTGAGGGTTAAAGTAGCGTAAAATTATTGTCCCCCTGAGAGGGTACGTAAGTCCCAAAACTTTAAGGTCACTTTAGCTCTACCAAACTTTTAATCATAGAATATTTATTATTTTCAAACATGGCTAAAACTCAGCACAATCGCCAGCGACTGAAGGGATGGTGTAAATCCAGCTAGGGTCCATGCAGGTAGCAAATGTACTGTAAGTCCCCATGTCCCTAGTATGGTGACCTACCTTCAAGTGTAGGTGATCTATATCACGTGTTTATATGTGTTCTGTCTATAGTGATTTAATTTTACGATAGCGTACCAGTTTTAAATATATATCTGCGATACTCTAGTATTTTTACTGTCCTAACAGATTTTTACGTTCTATATCATCACGATACGGCTGAATTATTGCCGATATGACGCTAAATATTAACTTACTCACTCACTCACTGACTAATGTTCTAATCCGGTAAATATTATAAGGGTAATGCTATTTTTGAGGGCATTATCATTTGCAGAAGCCCGAGGTCTTCCATTAACTGCCCGACGAAGGAAAAAGACCGAGGTTAAATGGTAATGGTAATGCCCTCAAAAATAGCATTACCATTATTATTGCTAAAATACATGGAATTTGTGTTGAATTGAAAAAGGAAACAATTAGGAGATAACCCTAGTGTGTTTGAAAATCAGAGACATGTTTTACTGAATTGATGGCGACTAAATTTCAATTGGAACCGAACGCGGTTATCTCCATTCTACCATGACCCATTTAAAATCGAACTTCCTCGCTCTGCGGAAGACACTGCGTAATCCGGCATGGGACGAGAGGCGAATTGAACTCGTCTGTGAAGGGAGCGGTAGGTGCCGTTCGTATTTTTTTAACATTACAACATAACAATATTCTGTCCAAAGAAATCAAACTACTGTTTATTCAATGCAATTATGTAATACCCAAGATCTTGTGTTTTTTTCATCCCATCTCCACACGACTAAAATCAGCCTATTGTTTTGTGTGCCGTAAAACTGTAGCCCCCTGGCCACACTATAATGGAATCGTCTGACCTACTTATTTTCTTCGAAGCAGACAGTTACGCAACAGTTTGAAATGGTGGACGAGCCAGTGTTTACATTTTGCGAAAGGTTGAAATTTGAAGTGACAGTGGACAATACTTGACTGACTGTCGAATCTGAACCCTGCAGAATCGAAGAATAGATCCTTTCCTGATCAACCTACGACCTCGTTACTCATCAAAGACTGTTGATTTTTCATGACCGGCCCGATCATGATTTCAATGTACCGCTCCCACCCCGGCATGCGACAACAGAGTGACAGTGCTGCTGCTTAGTGTACATGCGACTAACTTGTGATTCCTTGAACTTTGTTTTCGTCGTTTGGGACTGGACTGTGTCCAAGCGATTTCCAAAGTAGATGAACATAACAGTGACAACCTTGCAGGGAAGCTGGCAGAGAGCAGAATTATTTTGTGAACGATGCAACGCCAACGGGATATGATGGAGTATGACTATGAGTGGCATAAATGTGGTGTTTCGCCAGACCGTTAGATCTATCTTGCAAATTTCCCATTCTAAACGGAATTAAATATACCATTTACCAGGTAGGTAAATGTTTACTAATGTTTTGCTGCATATTTTGCATAGATAGGGGTATTTTTACAAGGCTTTCTTGATTTATATGTTAGATATTGTTTTTGTTTATCTTTGGGGCTGTGTATTGTAATTGAGTTTGAATATTTTTATAATAGAAGGTAATATGATAGTGAGGTTCCCCATAATTGTGTGGGGAAATCATATAATTGTATTTTCGAGTTTAAATAAATGTTTGGTCAGCATTTCCATCACGACTGTTGTGTTGATATTAGTCATTTTGGTGGTCAAGCTGAAGTAGTGCGGCAGCGTTCTATGCGTGCGAAGTGAAGCGCAATGAAATCAAAATCATTTTTAATCCAAAAATTTCCAATTGCCTATGTGGAAAATTCGAAAGTCAGCGTCAAAATCCATGGAGTTGTTGTTATGATCCGCCATCATTATGGTCAAACGGAAGTAGTTCTCACAATAAGATTCGTTAATGCGCGGTGAAGCGGCCTTACAATCAGATGAGCGTCAATCCACAATTGATGCCGTCTGATTTTTCTGAACAACCAATAAGAATCTAGTATTTTCTTGATTCATGGTAGAATGAAGGAATTTGACTGTAAGTTTACCCAAATCAACTTCTGACGGGGTTGACTGCCCGCATGCAATTCCGTCATCGAACAATTCAAGTGACGTCACATCAGAAAGTGACAATATTCGACCTTGGCCTTTGACAAGACCATAGCCTGCAACACGTCAAACTATGTCAGTGTTCGGTTTTGGTCCATCAACAGCCTTAATAGTGCAATTGTTAAGGTTAGCATCAACAAGAAAGCCAATATTACCGCTATTTAAAGCGGGAATTCGGGTTGCCTTGACTTGTTTGACCCAGAATATCTGCCAGTCGAAAGCCAATTAACGTATCGCCACCTGTCAATCAAACAAATGACATGACCAATGAGAAACGTCAAATTATTCAATCCGCATCGCATTGCCGTCAGCTGACAGCGCGTTGTTCAGCAAAAGTTCAGCAAAAGTTTGCAAGCTTCGCTGCGCTACGCTGCCTGCTTTCCCGTGCAACGGACTGCTGTGTGAGCGCTTCATTCAATATGGCGTCGTCCAATATAAACACATCACCGATACTAGCCACACTTTTGGCACACGAAGCTGCAGAAGTTATTCCATGCAATGATTTTGAATTGTATGCGCAACATTAAAAACTTGTCCCAATTGGTTACAGAAGAGCAGACAAGTTTTCTCTATTACCTTGCAGAATGACATGCCGTGACGCCATTTTGAATGTCGCTCGCTTACGCAGGAAGCACCTCTCTCAGTCGCTGCACGCCGAAGCGCTGCGATGCATGCAGCGAGGCGTTGTTCAGCCAATAGAAGCGCAGCGCTGCACAGCGTATCGGCTAAACAACGCGCCCCACCATTTTGTCCTAAGCTGGTTACCGGCTCCCTTTACGCGCGCTAACGTTCGACAAAGCTATTGCGATATGCGAGACGGGGCCCAGCTTACATTTTGTCCGACATCAGCGGTCTGGCGGACTGTTTAAAAATAAATCGACGTTTACAGTCAACGTTTTGATCATGGTGAAAAGGTGTAGCTGGGGTACCTGCAACTCGGACACGCGGTACCCGGAACGACTTGCTGGTGGTATCACCTTTATTCCATTTCCCAAGCCTGCCAGAAATTTTGACAAATGTCAACGATGGATACGTTTGTGTGGTCGCCCCAAGTATCAACTGAACATGGAGATACTTCGTGACCACAGCCGAGGAAAACATTTCTTCGTATGTACAAAGGTGTGGAAACTAAAATTGAATAACATCTTAACCAGTGTTGAAGTTAATGTAAATTTAGAAATCTTTGAATTGGTAGACTTTCAGTGCTTTTAGTTGTTATATAAACCAGTTTACACCGATTTTCACTGATTAAGTTACTAATGTTTCACCGCGTGGTATGTCAAGGACAGACGATGTCTGTGTTTGAGCATACGATTTCAGATACATCCATGTTGTTTTTCGTCGTTTCTATCGACTAATAAATGCGAGCTTTTTTACAGCACTTTGTTGATGGAAAACCCTCCAAGACATTTCCGGACCCTGCGTCTGCACTACCTCATGAACAAAATGAAAATCCAAAGACAGTAAGACCACGACCCAAACCACGCTTGCCATTTATGGGCGACAGAAAAAGGAAAGTTCTTCTTGAAACACACAGGTAAAACATTGCTGCTTTTATACTTACTGCTCACAAAACACAACAAAAACATTGAAACATAATAATCAAACAAATCCTTGTTTATTCTGAGAGTATCACAGAAAGTTAGTAAAGGTAATGTCACACATTTAGATCCTTTGTAGTTACGAAAAGACATCACAAGATCACAATCATACTCAAGTTCTATTCATATAAGCATGATGAAGGCACTGATATCACCTGCAACAGGTGCATATTGACATAAAAATCTAATTGCTCTAGACAAAACTGTGTTTCACCCAGGTCCCATAATATTGAGTGATAAGACACAATAACTCTGAAGGATCCAAAGTATTCATTACAATCCATCATAAATATTAATACATCAACATGGACATTTGCTGTAACCACTGAGATCAGCCACGACAGTGGTTCTTTTAAATATGTTTAAATACAACATTAATTTACATATTTATAGATGTTTTTTTACATGGCATGGCCAGACACAGCCATTAGTCCCCTATCCAGAGATTGCTAATATTTCATACAGAAAAGATGACTTCTCAAATATAGAGATAATGTATGAATCAGATGGTCCAATATCCACATCCAACTAGTCCATTCATACTTGTCATTTCTCTGACGGGCACAGTGTTTCAGAATATATTCTTTATCCTTCATCAGCTGGGAGACGAATAAAACTAGGAAGCAGATGGCAATATTACATGTGAAAGAACAACAGTCATATGATGTCAACTGTGGGCACTTAACAAGTGAAGCCAAAAGTTATTTATCGCTCAATTGTAATAGCAATAAACACATATATTAGAAAAGTTAATCCAGGCATAAATAGTCCTGATAGGTAATCAAGAAGTTATAGGAAATAGACAAAGATGGTAACCATTTAAAGGCTGTAATACATTTGAGGTTCAGGTATAAGATAATTTGGTCTTCATCTTCTTTTTCTCAGATGTAATCATGATACAGATATTTCTGATTCACCAAATCAGATGGATATGGAACATCCAGAGCCTACAACCATGCAGCAGGAATCTGATATTCTTGTCCAACAAAGTGACACCATGGGTATTTTTTATGAAGTTTGTTTCCCTTGCAAAGTATGGTTTGAAGTGATTGACATGTGTTTGTGACAGAGTTTCAAGCAGAGTCCTGAAGGTATTCCTGTCTGATATATCCGCTCAATGTTAAAGTCTTGTCTGGTGTAGGTTACAAAGTCACAAAATGGTGCCCCAGTTACAAGTAGTTGGCCCTGTACCCGATACCAATGCCTATCACCTCTTCAAGTTGTAATATTTTCCTTCTTTTTCAAAAAAGAAACCAGTCATACAGGAGGCTTCATTAATGGTCAAGTCCCTTACAGCATACAAGGACACTTTAATTTCCACAATACCAGAAACAGAAGTGTCAGCACACACTATAGCATCAGGGGTGGCTCCTATAAATGGAATAGATGGGTTTACAACAAAGCCAATGTCATGAAGATGATTTTGAGTTTTTTTCATGTACATTTGTTTAGCTATTTTCTCATTAGAATTCCCATAAGTTGTTGGATTGGAGGAAAATTTCTCTTTGTCAAAGGTGTTTCTGATAAATGTGTCATTGATTTGTTTTTTGCCCTTTCCTTGCTTTGTACCACAAATCAGACTTGCTTTGAGATCTTGTATTTTTTTCTAAATTATGGGACTCGGCAACTGAAAGTTCTAAATCTTTCCACTGATGTTTTAAAGTTGCAATTGAATCCAGTTCGGCAAGTTGTCATCTTTTGAAATGTGACATCTCCGCACCTGTCCTCCATCTTTGGAACCACTATTGGTCTAATTATGGTGCCTGTAAAGAGAAGAAGCCAGTTTATTCACACTTAGTTTTATACAAGGGAGGTAATAAGGCTGTTTTTCTTCTTAAATCTCAAATTGAAACAAGTATGTTGTGGGTGCTATGTGTTCATTCTTAACTTATTTTTTTGTGTGCAAAGCATTTTTTAAACATTACAACAAGTCAGATTGATAATAGGTAAGTCTGTTTCAGGTCTAATAATGAGTTTGGTGCCCTAAACTAGCCAGATCATTTCTTCTCTGTAGAATGTATTATTGCTTGAAACAGTTGTAATTGCTTTTACAGGTCCTCTGCCACTTGATATGCTGGCTCTAGCTGCAGAGAACAAGCAACTCAAAGAAGATATGGCCAAACTGATCCTAGAAAAGGAGGAGCTCATGCGTTTGAAAGCAGATCAACACCAAAATTAGTGCTAAAATGTTACATGATGTGTATTCTTTTGTAAAAATACAGAGAAAAAAAGATTACAAGTATTACACAGGATTTCCCTACTTAACAGCTCAAAATATTTAAATTTGTTGTCCCTGGCAATGCTGATGATGAACCTTTTTGAATTTACCAGAACAGTTAGCAGTTTGAAGTGTATGGGTCTTGAAGACCAGCTTTTGCTTGTTCTGATTAAACTTTAGACAGAATTTTGATTTAAAACATCTCTCAAAGTTGTTTCTGATATCACCCCAAGATTGCAGTAATTGCGTTTTCAAATTGATAAATTACTTATATTACAGGTTTGATCTGTGTCAATTTGGCCTCACCATGATGTTTTGCAGCAACATATGCCTTCAAAATTTCGCCAGGAATTTCCAAACACTTTCAGTATCATTGATGGAACAGAAATAAAAATTCAGAGACCCCTCTTCACTGACAAGGCAAAGTCAAGCATATTCAGATTACAAATCAAGTACTTACCCTGAAAGGTCTCATTGGTGTGGACCCAAGAGGTTCAATTACATTCATATCAATGCTGTTTTCTGGGGCTTATATCAGACAAAGAATTAACTGAAAAGTGGTTATCTGTCCCTCCTCAGAGAAATGGTTAAGTGTGGGAAACTTAAAGTGGGAGATGGTCTGATGGCAGACAAGGGCTTTAATATTGAAAAGGAAATAAGGGCCACTGGATTACGCCAACATTCCCCTTTGCACCAGGTATAGGTCAGATGTGTGTGTCTGATGTGTCAGAAAACAGTGAAAATTGCAACAATACAGTGGTGGCTCGAAAAATGCCATTGGAAGGGTAAAAAATCAAAATTGTTGGTAAAAAATTGCATTTAAGTTTGTTTTCCTCAGTAAATCAAATTTGGTTTGTGTGCTGTTTCTTGACTAATTTTATGCCATATTTAATTCAAGATAAAGATTAATTACTTGATGTCCAAGAGTTGATCCAACAATCTGAGGACCTATTGGTGTGTCAACTGTCTGACTGGTGCTGGTACATGTATCTGTCAGGTATGAAATAGGGAATCTCTTCATATGGTGCAGCAGAGACATGTCCGACTTCTGTATTTGAAACTTTCCTGCAAGTACAAAAGTATTAGTCACAAATATTGTATTTGTGTATGTTAAAACTTGAAATGTCAATGAATATTTTGTAATGTGCTCTTGTTCCTGTTAACTTAACTGAACTGTAATATTTATGCAAACAACTGCTCAATAGTCATCTGATATTGCTTTCAAACTGTGATGAGTATTTTCTACCTTGAAATATCTGATGATCATGGAGTAAAAAATGTCATATAGGTAATGCTTGCATTATGATACATCATTTTCATAAAACAAGTTCAGAATCTGAAATAAAACTTTGGGCATATAATAACATCACCTGTTGTCATTGAATGTGGCCATCACAGGTCTCCTTTTCCTATTGAGATTTCCAGGCCTGGCAATAATTATTCAGACACTGCTTCAGATTCAATCTTTGGTCCCCTTTGGTTTATCCCACTGCTGAGGCAGGCTAGTGGAAGAGGGCTGTGAAGGAATGGCTTGATAGCCTGATATCTTCCAGCCTTCCAGTATCAGGACAAGTGCCAGTACATGGGAACACTTTCCACTTGCACTGAAGAGAATAGGGTGAATAAATCTGTTACAGAACTGTGATTGACAGCAGGAATATATAATATATTTGAGAAGAAAATACATTTACATGGTTTTATTCCCGCAATGCCTTACAACAGATATTACATTTACCTCTTACATTTATTACAGAATCTGTTTCTTTCACGATGATAGAAATTTAACGTAATTATATGGGATAACATGGGTTTCATTGTCAACAACTGAAACGGCCAGCACACAGACGTGTAATTGATTTGATATCTATATATGCCGCTTATAAAACCCCAACAGATTTATGCCATAAATTGGAAAGGCACCGGGTTATTTCTCGTACTACTCACCCACATTTGCAGCTACAATGGGCGCCAGTGAACGATTTGTGAATTTTGTCAAGGACAAGTTGATTACATGAGGAGCTTCGCTTTCCGCTGACTTCTATAAATCCTCCCGCGAAATCGACATAAATGATATTATCACAACATGAATGGAAACTAACGGAATGAAGGTATGAGGCCTAACTAAAAGCCACTGACGTTGTTTTTGCCGCAGTAGGTTCATAAGGCAAATATTTCGGGCCAATATCATTGGGAATGTCTCTAAACGATATCACGCGCCATTTTGACAGTTGGTTTTGACAGCGATGTTGTCGGACCTTTGAGAGTTATCTCCTTTCTTTTGGGGCGGGTTAACTCTTCACTGGCGATCCGTTAATTAATGACGCCACTTGACAACAGAACTGATAGTGGCCCGCTGCTAAGGCTAAACTCACTCACTCACTTATATATAGCTGAACTCTATCTCTAGAAACGGAGTAACTAATTCGTTAAAGAGGGAACTATTTCTGTGGACACTTTGAAAACCAGGAAGCGGCGATTGTGGCTAGATTTTACTGTCGCCTTTGTGAGATGAGATAACTAACTGAAGGAAGCGACAGTAAAATCTAGCAACAATCGCCGCTTCCTTCAGTTAGATTTCTCACAACTGACAAAATGCGAAAATCCTAATGTAATGACTTTCACATAATAATAATGTGAAGCAAAAATGTTCCACATTTCATTATCTACAGTTTGGTGTCTTCAAAAAGGAAATCCATTGTGTTTTCGCAGAGCTGTGACCCCTATAAAAATGCGTTTTGCCAAAAATTGACCAACTTCCCGGAGGGGGCAATAACTTAAGTCTTAAAGAAGGGTGGGCTTGTTTCCGAGTTATAACTCAAGAACTGTTCAATATTTTTCAACAAAACTTGGTAGATATATCAAACAGATCCTAAAGTGGTGCCTTTGCATTTCACAGATTTTTGGCATTTTTATTTTTCCCGGTTTCCATGGAAACGATTCGACTTAGTCCCAAAAGAGAGGGTGGGCTTCGCTCGAAGCATAACTCAAGAACCGCTCAATATTTTTCAACAAAACTTGGTAGATGTATGAAACAGAACCTTAAGTGGTGCCTTTGCTATTTGCCGCATTTTTGGCATTTTTATTTTTCCCGGTTTCCATGGAAACATTTTGAACTTAGTCTCAAAAAGTAAGGATTGCTTTCGCTTCCCGGAGCACAACTCAAAACCATATAATATTTTTTCAACAAAACTTGGTAGATATATCAAACAGATCCTAAAGTTGTGCCTTTGCTATTTGCAGATTTTGGCATTTTTATTTTTCCCGTTTCCATGGAAACGATTCGACTTAATCCCAAAAGTGAGGGGTGGGCTTCGCTTCCTCGAGCATCAACTCAAAACCTCTATATCTTTCAGCAAAACTTGGCAGATATGTGAGGCAGATATTGAAGTGATGCCTTTGCTATTTGCAGGTATTTGTGATTTATTATTTTCTCAGTTTCCGCGGAAATGATCTCGAACTTTAGTCTCAAAAAAGGAAGGATGGGTTTTGTTTCCTCGGAGCACAACGCTAAAACTTCTTAATATCTTTCAGCAAAACTTGGCAGATATGTGAGGCAGATCCCAAAGTGGTGCCTTTGGCTATTTGCAGGTTTTGTCATTTATTTTTTCATGATTTCCATGGAAACGATTTGCACTTAGTCTAAAAATCAAGCTGGACTTTAAGTAACTGTCAGATTTGTTCTTTCAAAGATGTGGGGCCGGGGATATGTCATCTTCTGATGACTCTTGTTCTTAACCCTATGAAAATGCTGCCTTAAAAATTCACTGACTTCCATAATGCATAACTCTTTAAACTATTCAAGATATCCATATGCCTTGAAGGGTTTAAGTAGTCCGGAGTATGGGTTTTAAATGATATATCGAACGCATTGTACTATATGCCGCTCTGAAGAAGAAGATTTTAAATACAGGCACCGGCCAAAACGAGGAAATCGGCAAAAATTTCAGTTTTTTCAAAATTGGCGGAAAATTTATTCTGCCGCCAAACTTCCGCCATGGGTTGAATCGATGGGGAATGATGTTGTCTACATTGAGTGACAATTTGGTCAATTTATCTCTAACAGTATTGGGAGATATAGAGGTTGAAAAAAAGTTTGAAATATTTTGACATTTTGGGTTCTCTGCCCTTACTGGAAGCCGGAAGTCTGATTTTTTCGACTATGTATCAATTTCAGCACACAGGCTATCACCCCTGAAAGTTTCATGAAAATCGCCCAAGTGGTTAGGTCAGGAGAGCTGTCACAAAAATTGTACAAATAATAATAATAATAAGAAGAAGAAGAATAACTAGGATTGTCTCCTGGGCAATACTGGCGGTCTTCAGACTTCCCCATATACACCCCGTGGCTACCTTTACTTATCCTGTTTCTTTGGACGCCAACTGGATCGCCCATTACAGTGTTTCTGAGATAGAATTACCAAGAAAGTAAATGTTAGTTAATGTGAAATGCTGACGCCCTAATTTGGCGCTGATTCAATGCAGCTGACACAAACTGCAGAAAAACAAACAGGAACGCACAGCCAAGATCAGCAAAGGACAGGCTGCTGGAGAGATTAGATCCTTCAAATTCCAGAACACCAACTCTTTTGACTGTAGACCTAAAAAGAACGGAGCTACGGCCTGTTAAAGAGGGAACTGTTTCCTTGGGCATTGGAAAGCCAGGAAGCGGCGAATGTTGCTATATTTTACTGGCGCTTCCTTCAGTTAGTTATCTCAAAACTGAAAAAATGCGAAATCCTAATGTCCGTCCCTGTTTGTGGCGTAATTGTGGCGTAATTATCGACTTTTACATAATAATAATGTGAAGCAAAGATGTTCCCCATTTCATTATCTACATTATCTAAGGTTTGGTACCTTCAAACATGAAATCCATTGTGTTTTCGCAGAGCTGTGACCCCTATAAAAATGCGTTTTGCCAAAAATTGACCAACTTCCAAGGGCAATAACTCTGACACTATTCAAGATATCGACATGCATTGAACAACCTAAGTAGTCCGGAGTGTGGGCTTTAAAACGATATATAGAACACTATTGTACTATTTACTGTTCAGGAGCAAAAGAAGGTTAAACAAAGGCACCGTAAAAAAAAGTGCGGAAATGTGCAAAATCGCGAAGGTTGTCTTTGTGTCGTAATGGTGACGTAATTATTGATTTTTACATACTCATGATGTGAAGCAAAAGTGTTTCCCATTCAATTACCTACAGGATGGTACTTAGAAAAATGGAATCCATTGATTTTCGCAGAGAGTTGTGACCTTTTTAACCCTATGAAAATGCTAGCTTTGTGAAAAATTGACCAAATTCAGGGGTGATAACTCTTAAACTATTCAAGATATCGATATGCCTTGAAGGGTTTAAGTAGTCCAGAGTGTGGGCTTTAAAATGATATATCGAACACGCATTGTACTATATGCCGCTTCTGGAGAAGAAGATTTTCAAACACAGGCTCCGCCAAAACGCGGAAAATCGGCAAAAAATCAGTTTTTCAAAATAGCGAAAAATTTGACC